GGTGGTGATGGGATCCTACTTAATATTCTTGAGTTTTATTTTATTTTATTTTTTAAAGATTTTATTTATTTATTTGACAGAGAGATACACAAGCAAGGAGAGTGGGAGTGGGAGAGGGAGAAGCAGGCTTCCCGCGGAGCAGGGAGCCCGACGCGGGACTCGATCCCAGGAACCTGGGATCATGACCTGAGCGGAAAGCAGACGCTTAACGACTGAACCACCCAGGCGTCCTTATTCTTGAGCTTTAAAGAACATTTAAAATTCAGATCCTTGCAATGCTGCTTCCTCAAAAAACTGAGAACGTTTCTCATGAGGATTAACAATACCCTACAATTTCAATTCCTGCAGTTGTTCAATAACAAAGGAAAGAATAACCCCCCCGGAAGTGAGCGTAGCTGGGGCGAGAAGGCGACTGTGGGGTGGGGGGCGGGTCTGCACCGAGCACTTGGATTCAGCTCCTCCATTTCCAACCTGGAAGACGCTTACACCGAGTCCCTGGAGCCTGAAAAGCTATTACAATGCCCCTGCGATATAAACCACCAGATCAGGGCCTGCAGGTTTCCTTATCATCTTATCGAGTACAGAAAGAATCATCCTGATATCGCAAATTGGTTGCTTGTCCCTTCAGTGCTCGCCACCAGGGATCCCGGGCCGAAATCAGGCATCATATCTCAAGCTGCGATGATAAAAGCTGTACTGAGCAGGATGTTGTGAACCGAATCAGGAACCTTGGACAGGAGGCTCTGGCGGAAAGCACATGGCAGTGCATCCTTGCGATGAAGACTGGGATAAAGATCTGTGGGAACAGACCAGCACCCCATTTGTCTGGGGCACAGCCAGCTACTGTGGCAACAATAGTTACGGGTATGGAACAGACGAGTAACCGGGCTTCAGGCATGCGCGTTCCCAAGGCTCTGCCGTGTATTCTGCCATAGAAAAACAATGGAAACACACAGTAACTGAGTATTTATCTCATCAAATGCCAGGCCCTAGAAGACTCTTGCTTCTTCCTGCTACCAGTGGGTTCTTCATTTTTTCCCTCTTAATTTAATTGTAGAAAGATAAACTGTGACTTTCAAACTGACAAGTACCTTTTCTTCTCCTCCCCCCCCCCCCCCCCCCTGCTTTGAGTTCTCACTCATTTAATACAAGAAAGAATCTTTGGTGCCTGGCCAGCTCAGTTGGTAGTTCCTGGCTGGCTCAGCAGGTGGAGCACGGGACCCTTGATCTCAGGGTTGTGAGTTCAAGTCCTACGTGGGGCGTGGAGTCTGATAAAACAATTTTTTTTCGTTTTTAAAGAGAGAACCCTTAAACTCAGAAGAATTGTTTCAAATAAAGCATCAATGCTGATTTAAAAAAAAGGGAAAGGATGAAGTACTAAGTAATTTATGTGTTATGAAAAAGAAATTTCCCTATTCTGTTTCCACATGACAATCCTCTACTCTCAAGAGGGCAAGCTTCATAACGGGACTCAATGGTCAGAATTCTGAGTTAACTCACAGCTTTCTGACTGTCATCTGATGACACCATTTTGGGAGGAATTCTTGACCAAACAAAATCAGGGAGACCCTCTTCTTGTCAAACCCTAAATTAATGTATTGGTTCTGCTTTATAAGGACGCTAAGGGAACAGGCAAAATGTTTTTAAACTAAGTTCCTTTTAATTATGACTCAAGATAATATTAAATGAACTCTTAGGCATATAAATGCTGGTTTATTAGTCCTCTGCCGACAAGGCTTGTTTGTTTCTTATCAAAATCCGAAATAGTGAAGTCTCTCTCGTTTTAGGCAGTGCAGGCAATGAGAAGCTCATTCATAGTCAGACTTCTTGGATTTGAAATTGTTTGGGCACTAAGTGGATTGCCTCTCTCTTTTTTCCAAGATGTTGGACAGTGGACATATGAATTACAACTTAACTTTCTCATTTGGGGCACTGAAAGGGGGGCTATTATACTCTCTACTAGAAATATCACAGGCTAGAAATCACGTGTAATTTCTCATGGCATTGAACAAAAACCAAAAACTTCAAAGAACAGAATACTTTCCTCTGCATCCTTTGTTTGTACTTCAGCTTTTCAAAAACTGTTAAATCTAAGGGCACCTGGCTGGCTCAGTCAGTGGAATGAGAAGCTCTTGGTCTTGGGGTTGTGAGTTCGAGTCCCCTGTTGGACATAGGGATTACTTTTAAAAAACCTGCTTAAATGCTAATAGGATTCATAAAACATTTGTAATAATAATTTCACATAATAATAATGAAACATAATTATATGAATTTAGCTCCATGTCTTCTGCAGTAACCCATGTTTCCAGAAACCTAGTCTTTAAGGGTGTTTCTGTATCAATATATGTCTTTCTTTGATAAAAATGGATACTCATGTTATTTTGAAAATTGTCAGCAAAATGGATGGTTTGCCCCTGTGCAGAAAAGAAGTAACAGCAAGTCTGACTACCATCCTTTTGGCCTGCTTACAAAGTTGACCCCTGCTTGGCATCTGGGAGCTTGGATTTTGAAAGGGTTCCCACCATTCTCAGACCTGATAAGAATGTGCCTAAATTGTACCTAAATTGTACAAATATATGGTTTATGCTGCTTTTTTTTTTTTTTTTTTATTGCGGCTTTCCTTCTGCAAGTCTGGAATTTCGGTATGTGCTAGATATATGGTGCCTACATGACCAGGCCCCAGCAAAAATCCAAAGAGCTGAGCTTTCCTGGCAGACAATATTTCACACGTGTGATCACAACTCATGGCTGGAGGAATTAAGTGCGTCCTGTGGCTCCAATGGAGAGAGGACTTTGGGAAGCTTGCACCTGGTTTTTCCGGGCTTTGCCCCATGTGCCTTTTCCCTTGACGGACTTTGCTTTGTAACCTTTGCCGTAATAAATCATAGCCGTGAATACAACTATATGAGTACAACTATATGATTCCTTCTAGTGAATCACCTAATCTGGGTGGTCTTGGAGACCTCCGACACAGCCCCTTATTTGATCACAAGATGGTTATCTTGTGGTATTTAAAATAACCAAAAACTGACTTAAAGTTATAGTTTATGATGATATTTGAACAGATTGGTTTCAGGTAGTCACACGCAAGAAGGTCAGTTAAGAAAGGAAAGCTCTTGGGGCGCCTGGGTGGCTGTCTTTAGGCATCTGCTTTCGGCTCAGGTCATGATCCCAGGGTCCTGGGATCCAGCCCCGCATCCAGCCCCGCCTCGGGCTCCCTGCTCGGCAGGGGGCCTGCTTCTCCCTCTCCCTTTGCCTCTGCTTGTGTTCCCTCTCTCACTGTGTCTCTCTCTGTCAAATAAATAAATAAAATCTTAAAAAAAAAGGAAAGCTCTTTAAACTTGGTTAAGTCCTTGTCGTTTTTGAAAAATGATGCTAATCTATAAATGTTACAGGAATTAGACGTTTTCCTGATTACTATTATATGAAATTTGGGCTTAGGTGGCATGCCATACCATGAAATGATGGAAACAAATATGATTTCTGTCTTGGTCTGAAACATTAATTAAAAAGATTTATAAAGATTTATAAAAATCATAATAAACTGTATTCTAAAAGCAGACCCATGTCTGAAAATTCTGGTATACACATATCTTTGACCCTTTTGGAAATAGAGATGTACTTCCTACTGAATGACTCAGAAGGGAAGGAATTTTGGGTGATCTGATAAACAGAGAGTCATGGGGTAAGTCTGTTTCTATACCTTGATGTTAATAGTATAAAAAGAGAACTATAATATTAACATATTATACCTGTTATTTACAATTCTGATCTTCTGTTGATTTTTATACTTGGAAACCATATTCTTAATGATTGATATGCTTTATCAGTCCTGTATGAATGCCAATGCCAAAATCCAGGCTCAGCGTCTGTTCTACCTGGGATTTCTAAGAGTAATGGTTCCCCCCCCCCCCCGCCCACTGGTAGGAATGCAGCATGAACTTGGTCATCTATGATGAAGTAAAGCACATTTTTTTTTTAAAGATTTTATTTATTTATTTGACAGAGAGAGAGACAGCGAAGAGAGGGAACACAAGCAGGAGAAGTGGGAGAGGGAGAAGCAGGCTTCCCGCTGAGCAGGGAGCCCGATGTGGGGCTCGATCCCAGGACCCTGGGATCATGACCTGAGCGGAAAGCAGACGCTTAATGACTGAGCCACCCAGGCGCCCGAAGTAAAGCAAATTTTAGGAGGTCCACTATCAGTTGGTTCCTAGGGAGAATTGATCACCATCAAGTTTATTTCTCCATGCCTGGGTAAAACAACAGTGACTTGTCTGGTGATCACCAAACCCTTCAAACATAAGCATGGTCACATGACCATCTCCTTCCTCCCAAAAAGAAAGAACAACATTTGATTTAGATGGTTTGTGTTCCTCAGAAAAGGTCACTCTATAGACCGGAAGAACTTGAGAAAGAGGAAGTACATTGAATTAAAATGCAGAGACTCAGAAACTGACATTGGGGGCACATTTAGCCGTAATGTCCTTTCTGGAAGTGGGAGGTTGCTGGACAACAGGCGTATCAGAACCGCTTGTTCCAAGGCTATGTGTGATGTTTGAGATCAGTTCAGGAGCCTTGTGAAGAAGAAGAAGAATTTATTTATTTTTATTTATTTTTAAAGATTTTATTTATTTGAGAGAGAGAGAGAGAGCACGAGTGGGGGAGGAGGGGGAGAGAAACAGAGGGAGAGGGAGAAGCAAGCTCCCCACTGAGCAGGGACCCCGATGTGGGGCTCAATCCCAGAACCTGAGCCAAAGGCAGACACTTAACCGACTGAGCCACCCACGCACCCCAGGAGACAAAAAAATTATAGAGAGAGGCTGAACATTGGCCTAATGAAAAATGGAAGAGAGTTTTTGGAGTTCCCTTCAGCAATGGGGCAAAATCATGCTCCGTGGCCACACCCACTTAAAGAGGAAAATGGGATCAAGAGTTGGGGGCAATTGGCTCAACTTGAAAGAAAGGAGCAGCCTCTGAGAGTTTCTCCTATTCTTAGGACACTTCCTGTGATCTATCCTGAACACAGCATACTCATTGAATGCTCCCAGTCTCCTGCTGCAATGAAATGAATTACATCCCGATAAGGAAGAAGGGAGCAGAAATACCACCTGTTGGCTGAGGTCCCTGTCATCCTGAAATGGAAGTAAAAAGGAAGATGGATTCGGTCATTGAGAGAGTAAGGAGCAACAACATCTTGGAAAATTATCCAAACATTTCCACCGCAGTCTCCATGTCACTGGGAATGAAAGCGGGGCCCACTCTGTAGGTCTGAGTCCCCAGGCTGAAAAGAACACCCTGCTGAAGAGGGTAACTAGCAGTCTCGGGTATCTTACTGGGCCAGATCTCGGGCTAGGCACCTTCCACCCCACAGGGCTGTCTTTGCCTCATCAGAGTCTGATTTCAGTGGCCTCTTTTCGCTCTGTTGTTTTGCTTTTCTGTCACAACTTCATCACTGAAGAACAGCGAGAGAGTGGACAGTGTCAACCACTTTCCAGAAGGTTCTTACCTCGCTGGCTTCTACAATGGAGAATGAAGCTCGCTCCGAGGGCGATGAGCCCTAGCACAAAGCCTCCGACTCCAGCCAGCATCTTGCTCCAGGCAGAATCAGGCTGTGCCTCTGGGGAGAACAGAAGTCGGGGTGAGTCTCCCCTCCACTTGCCGCAACCCCAGGGCCCTGTCTGACAGGCACCTGATCTAATCTACCATGGAGAGAAAAGGAAGGGGATGAGGTCAAGCTTGGAACCACTATGGAGAAAGAGTAGATGTGAAAAGCACTAAAGTTTTGGGCCACAGAGTGATGGCTTCCACAGGATGCAAATGCTGGTTTTAGGTCAGCCCATTAAGTCCAAGCTTAAGGGACTGAAGGGAGACTGAAGGGAGAGGTGTTTCCATGTCTGAGGGCCAGTCATGAGGGTGATGGCATTTCTGAGGTTTTTTTGACAAGGGGAGATTCTTTAGACTTCCCCCAGGGCAGGATAAATGTGTGCGAGGATTGCCAGACCGTCACTGCTCCCAGCCGAGACCACAGTTAGGTTGATGAGGAACACGGGGTAGTCTCGTGTAGTAACACAAGACAAAATGAGCAGACCTCAGAGCCTGGAGGGTCATCAGGGAGTAACTCACTCCACTCCACGGTGACAGGACCATCTAGGCTGGGGTGCTCCACTTGGCAGGCGTAGACGTCTCCCTGCCGGGGGGTCATTTCCAGCATCACCAGGGTCTGGAAGGTCCAGTCTCCATTATGCATTGAGTTGGTGGATAAAACCCCAGCTGTTTCCTCCTGTCCATTCAAGAACCAGCGGACTTGAATGTGGCCTGGGTAGAAATCTGACACGTGGCAAACAAGCAGGTTGTGGTGCTGCGGATGCCCCTTCTTGGAGGGAGAGACATGCACTTGAGGCTGGACTAGGAGGGGAAAAGACTCTTTGTTATGACAACTGAGACAGCCAAAGTAGAACATTTAGTGATTTTCTTGCCAAACTGACTTCTCAGATGTTAAAGACAAATCCTATCACCTATTAAGCTATTTAGAGGCAGGAGATGGGGAACACAGTAGGAAAAACAGAATAAAACATTCAAATGTTCTACGAATGACCTTGTCACACCCAATAATGAAAGAGCAAAGAACAGGAGAGGGTCAGAGTTGGTGCTCTAGAACACTTCTGCCACAAATGTAGGTGACAGTGACTAATATTCTTTGAGCAGAAATGTTGGACCAGCTATGAAGTTACCTGAACTTACATTTTCTCATCTTGTTTAAAAGGATGTATAATCCTGCCAGATATTATCTTGGAATCAGAATATATTCAGCCAATAGATTTCCTTTGATCTAGCAGTCTGATATTCTCCTTTAAAAAAGACAAGCAGGGACGGCTGGATGGCTCAGTTGGTTAAGCGACTGCCTTCGGCTCAGGTCATGATCCTGGAGTCCCTGGATCGAGTCCCGCATCAAGTCCCGCATCGGGCTCCCTGCTCCGCAGGGAGTCTGCTTCTCCCTCTGACCCTCCCCCCTCTCATGTGCTCTCTCATTCTCTCTCTCTCTCAAATAAATTAAAAAAAAAAAAAAAAAAGACGAGCAGATGGGATGCCTGAGTGGCTCAGTCGGTTAAGCATCTGCCTTCAGCTCAGGTCATGATCCCAGGGTCCTGGGATCCAGTCCCACATTGGACTCCTTGCTGGGTGGGGAGCCTGCTTCTCCCTCTGCTTGCCACTCCCCCTGCTTACGCTCGAACTCTCTTTCTCTCTGAGAAATAAATAAATAAATAAATAAATAAATAAATAAATAAATAAATAAATAAATAATAGGAGAAGAAATGAAGTAGCTTGATTTGTTCTTCATTTTAACCTGTCTCCTGGCTTCCTCTACCAGGGAAAAAAAAAAAGTTTGTCGCCAGATCCACAAACCCAATGCTCCTGGCTCTTTCCTGTTTGCGGAGCAGGGAGTCTGGCCCCTTGCGGCGCTGGCCTGGCCCCTGGGCTCGGTGCTGGCTCTGGGACGGGGCGGCCGCTCCCCCCTTTGCTGCCCAAGTCCACCCGGTGCAGAGTGTCCGCTGCAGACCCGCCCTGTCACCTCGGCGCTTCAGCGTGAAACCCTCGTCCAGGTCGAAGTTGTGCTTGCACACGGAGTCCACGGCGCTCCGTCTCAGGGCCAGGAACTCCCTGTGAATGTTCCAGTTCTTGGCCGTGATGCTCGGACACGGTGGCAAACAGCCCCACGGCGCTGTCCAACTGGACGAACAGCTCTCGGTTGTAGGTGTATTGCTCCCGGAAGCGGTGCGTCACGTTGAACTCGAGGCAGGTACTCCGCCTCTGGTAGGCGTAAAGCTCTGTGGGGGAGTAAACTAGGAGGTGAATATAAGAATGTATAGGAGGGGGGCGCCTGGGTGGCTCAGTCGTTAAGCGTCTGCCTTCGGCTCAGGTCATGATCCCAGGCTCCTGAGATCGAGCCCCGAACCAGGCTCTTTGTTCACCGAGGAGTCGGCTTCTCCCTCTACCTCTGCCTGTCCCTCCCCCTGCTCATGTGCTCTCTGTCTGCCAACTAAATAAATAAAATCTTAAAAAAGGAAAAAAAAAAAAAAGAATGTATAGGAGAATATAATAATGAATATGGGGGTGAGGAAGCATTTCTTAAGCAAACATAAATCACAAGGCAAAAAGATAATGAAATGAATTACATTAAAATTCAATGCTTCTGTTATGCAAAGGGCACCACTAAGAATTAATAGATGGAATAGAAACACACTCACAATGTCTAAAATTGACATGGGATCAGTATCTAAAATATATAAGCAATTCCTAAAGAACAAGCAAAATAAAGGACAGTGATAGAGCAGTGCTAAGGAGTGGGAATGGGAATTTATAGGAGAGGAAACTTGCAAGGCAGCCTGCAGCTCACCAGTGGAAAGAAAATTCAGAAAGAAATGAGACTGAGATCTATTAGACTCAAGCATCATATGGAGTGTAACGCACCCCCGCCCCATGGTCAGAATAGCACCCAGAGGACACTTGGTCAAACTGAAGAGATGTATGCCATATGACCCAGCACTCCCACAACTTGTTAGACATCAAAAATGTTCACACTCAGGTCCATAAAGGGACAGGTAGGGGCTGCTGTTGACTGTGGCATTATTTGTGACACTAAAGAATTGGCAGGAATCAGTTGGTGTGATCATCCCTGGGACAGCAAACACCTAAAAACTGTTGTGGATGTACACCATGGAATATTTTTTTAAAGATTTTATTTATTTATTTAGAGAAAAAGCATGAACAGGGGGAAGGGCAGAGGGGGAAGGAGAGAGAATCCCAAACAGACTCCCCACTGAGCATGGAGCTGGCATGGGGCTTGATCTTAGGACCCTGAGATCATGAACTGAGCTGAACTCGAGTCAGATGCTCAGGGCGCCTGGGTGGCTCAGTCGTTAAGTGTCTGCCTTCGGCTCAGGTCATGATCCCGGGGTCCTCGGATCGAGTCCCACATTGGGGTCCCTGCTCGGCGGGAAGCCTGCTTCTCCCTCTCCCACTCTCCCTGCTTGTGTTCTCTCTCTCGCTGTCTCTCTCTCTCTGTTAATAAATAAAATCTTAAAAAAAAAAAATTAAAAGAGTCGGATGCTTAACCGACTGAGCCACCCAGGTGCCCCTGGACCATGGAATATTATGTAACCATTAGATGAAACCAAATAGTTGTACACTCTATAACATTGTGTAGGAATGTTAAAAATATAGGCACTGAAAAATACATATCTTGAAAGAATGCATAGGAACAAAAACTATGTAGGAAACCCATTAGAATGGGTGGGTGCATTCTCTGTGTGTTTTAGAATCTTATTACAAGGGTCACATTAGGGACATGCAGACAATGTGATTTTTCCCCATGTCCTGTTCTGTTTTTTACACTTGAACATTTTAAGTCAAGTTACTCTTTTATTCATATTTATATACAGCACCTAACCTAAGCCTTCCTAAATACTTTCTGGCTTTATTGACATATATTTGATAATAAAAAGTCATATATATTTAAGGTGTAAAACCTGATGGTCTGATATATGTATACATTGTGAAATATTCACAAGCCAATTAACATATTCATCATCTCATACAGTTACCAATTGCCTTTTTTTAAATCTTTTTTTTGTGGTGAGAACACCTAAGATCTACCCTCTTAAATTTCAAGTACACAATACAATATTGTCAACACAGTTCTCCAGAACTTATCCACAACTGAAACGTAGTACTCCTTGAAAAATATCCCCCCATTTTCATCTCCCCCAGCCCCTGGTAGCCATTTCTATGAATTTAACTATTTTAGATTTCACATATAAGTAAGATCATGCAGTATTTGTCTTTCTACATCTGCCTCGTTTCACTGAACATAATGTCCTACAGGTTTATCCATGTTGTTGCAAATGTCAGGATTTCCTTCTTTTTAAAGGCTGAAGAGTATTACATTGTGTATATATACCATATTTTCTTTATTCATTATCCATTCATCTGTCCTTGGACATTTAAGTTGTGTCCATATATTGGTTTTGAGAATAATACTGAAATGAATATGGAAGTGCAGATATCTCTTCAAAACCCAGATTTCATTTCTTTTGGATATATACCCAGAAGTGAGATTGCTGGATCATATGGTAGTCCTATTTTTAATTTTTTGAGGAACCTCCATACCGTTTTCCATAGAAGCTGCACCAACTTACATCCCCACAGCAGTGTATCGGGTTCTCTTTTCTCCAAATCTTAGTATCATTGATCTTCCATCTTTTTTTTTTTTTTTTTTTTTTTTTAAAGATTTTATTTATTTATTTGAGAGAGAGAGAATGAGAGAGAGCACATGAGAGAGGGGAGGGTCAGAGGGAGAAGCAGACTCCCTGCCGAGCAGGAAGCCGGATGCGGGACTCGATCCAGGGACTCCAGGATCATGACCTGAGCCGAAGGCAGTCGCTTAACCAACTGAGCCACCCAGGCGCCCCTGATCTTCCATCTTTTGATACTAGCCATTCTAATAGGTTAAGATGATATCTCATTGTGGTGTTAATTTGCATTAGTAAAGTTAATTAGTAAATTAATTAGTAAAGTTGAGCACTTTTTCATATACATGTTGACCAACTGAAAAATGTCTATTCAGGTCCTTTGCTGTTTTTTTTTTAAATTTTTTATTGTTATGTTAATCACCATACATTACATCATTAGTTTTTGATGTAGTGTTCCATGATTCATTGTTTGTGCATAACACTGGGTTCTCCATGCAGAACGTGCCCTTTTTTTTTATTCTTATGTTAATCCCCATACATTACATCATTAGTTTTAGATATAGTGTTCCATGATTCATTGTTTGTGCATAACACCCAGTGCTCCATGCAGAATGTGCCCTCCTCAATACCCACCACCAGGCTAACCCATCCTCCCAACCCCCTCCCCTCTGGAACCCTCAGTTTGTTTTTCAGAGTCCATTGTCTCTCATGGTTCATCTACCCCTCCGATTTCCCCCGCTTCATTCTTCCCCTCCTGCTACCTTCTTCTTCTTCTTTTTTTTCTTAACATATATTGCATTATTTGTTTCAGAGGTACAGATCTGAGATTCAACAGTCTTGCACAATTCACAGCACTTACCAGAGCATATACCTGCCCCAGTGTCTGTCACCCAGTCACCCCATCCCTCCCACCCCACCCCCCCACTCCAGCAACCCTCAGTTTGTTTCCTGCAATTAAGAATTCCTCATATCAGTGAGATCATATGATACATGTCTTTCTCTGTTTGACTTATTTCGCTCAACATAACACCCTCCAGTTCCATCCACGTCATTGCAAATGGCAAGATCTCATTCCTTTTGATGGCTGCATAATATTCCATTGTGTATATATACCACATTTTCTTTATCCATTCATCTGTCGATGGACGTCTTGGCTCTTTCCACAATTTGGCTATTGTGGACATTGCTGCTATAAACATCGGGGTGCACGTACCCTTTTGGATCCCTACTTTTGTATCTTTGGGGTAAATACCCAGTAGTGCAATTGCTGGATCATATGGTAGCTCTATTTTCAACTTTTTGAGGAACCTCCATACTGTTTTCCGGAGTGGCTGCACCAGCTTGCATTCCCACCAACAGTGCAGGAGGGTTCCCCTTTCTCCGCATCCCCGCCAACATCTGTCATTTCCTGACTTGTTAATTTTAGCCATTCTGACTGGTGTGAGGTGGTATCTCATTGAGGTTTTGATTTGGATTTCCCTGATGCCGAGCGATATTGAGCACTTTTTCATGTGTCTGTTGGCCATTTGGATGTCTTCTTTGGAAAAATGTCTGTTCATGTCTTCTGCCCATTTCTTGATTGGATTCTTTGTTCTTTTTTTTTAAACAATTTCTTTTTTTTTTTTTTTTTTAAGATTTTATTTATTTGACAGAGAGAAACACAGCGAAAGAGGGAACACAAGCAGGGGGAGCGGGAGAGGAAGAAGCAGGCCTCCCACCGAGCAGAGAGCCCAATGCGGGGCTCGATCCCAGGACCCTGGGATCATAACCTGAGCCGAAGGCAGACGCTTAACGACTGAGCCATCCAGGTGCCCCTGGATTCTTTGTTCTTTGGGTGTTGAGTTTGATGAGTTCTTTATAGATTTTGGATACTAGCCCTTTATCTGATATGTCATTTGCAAATATCTTCTCCCATTCTGTCAGTTGTCTTTTGGTTTTGTGGACTGTTTCCTTTGCTTTGCAAAAGCTTTTTATCTTGATGAAGTCCCACTAGTTCATTTTTGCCCTTGCTTCCCTTGCCTTTGGCGATGTTTCTAGGAAGAAGCTGCTTCGGCTGAGGTCGAAGATGTTGCTGCCTGTGTTCTCCTTTAGGATTTTGATGGACTCCTGTCTCACATTGAGGTCTTTCAACCATTTGGAGTCTATTTTTGTGTGTGGTGTAAAGAAATGGTCCAGTTTCATTCTTCTGCATGTGGCTATCCAATTTTCCCAACACCATTTGTTGAAGAGACTGTCTTTTTTCCATTGGACATTCGTTCCTGCTTTGTCAAAGATGAGTTGACCATAGAGTTGAGGGTCCATTTCTGGGCTCTCTATTCTGTTCCATTGATCTATGTGTCTGTTTTTGTGCCAGTACCATGCTGTCTTGATGATGACAGCTTTGTAATAGAGCTGGAAGTCCGGAATTGTGATGCCGCCGGCTTTGCTTTTCTTTTTCAACATTCCTCTGGCTATGTGGGATCTTTTCTGGTTCCATAAATTTTAGGATTATTTGTTCCATTTCTTTGAAAAAAGTGGATGGTATTTTGATGGGGATTGCATTGAATGTGTAGATTGCTCTAGATAGCATTGACATCTTCACAATATTTGTTCTTCCAATCCACGAGCATGGAACGTTTTTCCATTTCTTTGTGTCTTCCTCAATTTCTTTCATGAGTATTTTATACTTTTCTGAGTACAGATCCTTTGCCTCTTTGGTTAGATTTATTCCTAGGTACCTTATGGTTTTGGGTGCGATTGTAAATGGGATCGACTCCTTAATTTCTCTTTCTTCTGTCTTGTTGTTGGTGTATAGGAATGCCATTGATTTCTGTGCATTGATTTTATATCCTGTCACTTTACTGAATTCCTATATGAGTTCTGGCAGTTTTGCGGTGGAGTCTTTGGGGTTTTCCACATAAAGTATCATATCATCTGCAAAGAGTGAGAGTTTGACTTCTTCTTTGCCAATTTGGATGCCTTTGATTTCTTTTTGTTGTCTGATTGCTGTGGCTAGGACTTCCAATACTATGTTGAATAGCAGTGGTGATAGTGGACGTCCCTGCCGCGTTCCTGACCTTAGGGGGAAAGCTCTCAGTTTTTCCCCATTGAGAATGATATTCGCTGTAGGTTTTTCATAGATGGCTTTTATGATATTGAGGTATGTACCCTCTATGCCTATATTCTGAAGAGTTTTGATCAAGAAAGGATGCTGTACTTTGTCAAAAGCTTTTTCTGCATCTATTGAGAGG